CGGCACAGGCTGCGCGTCTCCGCCCGCGGGTGCCGCTGGAGCCGGGTGCCACCCGCTCCGCACCTCTGGCACTGCTGTGGGATCGTGGGCTCTGCCTTTGGAATCCATCAGGGCTCGGGCCCAGCAATAAACCCCTGTGTTCTAATCATGAAAAGGCGACTGATGCTCCATCGAGTGCTTTTGCATTGTCCCACCCGGATGGAGCATTAAGCCACTGGGAATGAGGCCACTCGGGATGGGGACTGAGAACGCGGAGCCTGAGCAATGCAGCGTTCCCTGCTGGTTGGGAAAGCTCACAGTGGTGTTACAGGACCACGTCAAACACCCACGAGTCTGTCGTTACAGCTTCCATTCCTCCTGCAGGTGAAAAAATGCCAACTCTGGTACCAGGCACCTTTTTACAAGGCAGGACTTGGCAGGTGCAAGTGGAAATCCCGGAAAGCTCCGGTCTGTGCCGTCCCACTGCGCTGCCTGTCGGATCTGCCGAGTCCTGCCCAGCAGCTGGTTTCTGCAGGACGGGACCAGGGGCCACTTCCCTCTGCTCGTGCCCCGGCTCGTCCCCGGGCCGGTGCCCAGCGAGGGCACCTGGGCACAGCCTGTACCAGGAGAGCAAACCACGAGAAAGTGTATCGAAAACAGCGGAGGCAGCTACTTCAGGCAAAGCAACGTCTCCATCTTTCCCTGATTATTTATTCCCTCTTCAGGAACACAGGACCTGTATTAATCTGAACACTCTAAAAGCCGTCGTACGTACACTCTGCTTCATCTTCCCAAGTTAATTCTTTTTTTCCTGTTGTATGATGATTACTTCACTTTTCCTGACAGCAGCACTGCATCATAATGTGAATTTATATTTAATAAAACCTTACGAGCACTTCTCAATCACCTTTATTCCTGCAGCAGCCCAGAGGGAGAGAGAAGGGCTTGTAACTGAGCAGAGAGGCACAAATATGGTAACTTCTAGGAGAGGAATTACAAACAGTTTACGAGCGTGACAAGCTGCTTTGCAGGTAATTTTGGGAATGGATGTATGGAGCAGTGCAAGGACCCCACGGCTTTATGCATATACCTGTCCTCCTTGTGCAAAGTGGAGCATCAGTACGGACCCTCAGGACCACCCTCCCATCCTACTACCATTTTTCAGGCCAACGACATTGACAACTGACAGGACAGCAAGTTCAAACACAAATTCCTACTTGGAATGACTAATTCTGCAAGAAACCCCAAACGAAATGGCGGCAGCACCTCCAAGTTCCAGGAAGGATGCCCCAAAAGGGATGCGTGACAGGAGACGGACGGATGAGATGGCTGCAGTTTATATGCTCACCAACACTCTCCATACTACAAGTATAAAAAACAGACACGAAATGTACCAGAAGTAAATTGACATACTGTATTTATTGCACAAATTTCCCCTAAAATTGGGAATGGTTATTATAATACAAGTGCACATCTTGGGAAATATATACAAAACCAGAAGAGATAACAAGTATGTACATTTTACCCAGCATTTTACAAGTACCACCATCTAAATAATTTAGAGAAAGCAAAAAATTGTCATAAAACATCTATAACAACCAATAGGGAGAACATACGCAAGGTGTAAAATTCTTTCTTTTCAATATTTTTTTTTGTTCTTAGCAGCCCAGAGTTTGCCAATTGCAACAAAACCAAATTTGCTCATTTGTGTGCCTGGTACACTTAGTTTCCAGCCGGAAAATTAAGACATGTTAATGGAGATTGGTAATAGTGGAAAAAAGAAATCAAACATTAGTTTTCTAGTCACATAAAACGATCGTGATATTTAAAAGTCGATGCTGTAGCCCTGTAAAAGATCCCTTTTTGTATTATTTAACAACCAGACATACGTACCACGTTGTTTGCGTACCCTAAAAGTTACCTTATGGAATAACCTCCCATCAACGAGGGTTTTGGTTGTTTTGACCACATGGGCCAAACTGCTGGAGAAGGTGCCACCGCGCGGCCCCGGGGGCTCTGTGGGCACCGGCACCCGCGGGTGGGCGGAGGACGGGGAAGCTGCATCCGCGGCCGCTTCATCCGGGACCGGTGAACACATCGCTAGGACGACATCAACGGGCTGTGTTGGGCAGAAGAGAGCAGAGAAGGGTGGGTGCCACCCAACAACCACCTTTTTCCCCTTCTCAGGTTAATTCTGGTTTCGAGCTGCGTGAGGGCCCTTCTCCAGCAGCACACCGGTTCTGAAGCAACACCCCCAGTTCACCTAACGATGGTTAAACGGAGGGGAACGCGGTGTTTTCCTGGAAGGATGCGTTGACAAGCACAGTCCTGGGAGGTGCCAGGAGTACGGAGCGGTGCTGCCCGGCTCTGCGGGCCCATGCTATGGAGGAACCCACGTGAGAAGCCTCCACGGAGGGACGGGCAGGGGTGCACCCACGGGGTTCCTCGGCCAGGAGCAAACTCCAGCCCCTGGCAGCAGTGACATCGCCAGGATACAGCCCCAAATCCATGTACAAGGCGCAGAGTCGTAACTACCGGCTGTATAACGTATCGTAGCAAAGAGTTAAAACCAGTCATGCTCTGAGCCCAGTCCTACATTTCATCAAAAACGTGTTTACACAACTGGGCCCCTACGTTCTGTGCTCATTCCAAAAGCCAGATGTAACATAATTGTGTGGTGCAGAAAGGACGTTTGAAGAACAGGGGAGAAACATACCCTTGGATCTCGTATTAAACACGAGTTCCTTCCCTGCAGCAGTCAGCGTTGGATTTTCTACACGAGAGAGTTTCAAATGACACTGCCTACACTAACGTTTGGTTTACTCACTGATGTAGACTCAGTCCTACATGGAAAGGGGTGTGGGTTTGCCATGTACATCTTCCCTGGAACAGAGCCTGAAGTTACAGATTTTAAATATTACTGACAAAACGGGTGAAATCCTGGCCCCAGCGAAGGAAGGGAGGAGAGCACTGTCGTGGACAGCGGTGGGGCAAGGATCTCTCCTGTTGTTTTCAGGTTTATCAAATGGCTAAAAGAGATTTGTCTTTAAAATACCTCTGCAAACACCACTAGCAGGCGTGCTACCCTACTGAAAAGACGATTACAGAACGACATATTCGCAGAACTGTTTATAGAGTTCAGCACCCAAGGGAACGCTTACTCCTACTTCTGTGGACAACCCATGAATTTCAATACACTGAACGTAACTGGTGAAAACAGAACCTAAAAATCAGCAACACTAACTGGCTGCCAGGACAAACGCGCAAAGAAAAGCCTCTAATGAAGTGTCCAGTTAAACTGAGGTAGAAGAGCCTTTGGAAACACAATCCACCTACCACTGTGTATTTACACTACTTACACCAGGTTGGGTCCACCAGCTGTTGGTACAACTGTTGTATATACAATGACAAAAGAGTGATGGCTGAGCAGAGGAGAAATGCTGAAAATAAAATAAACAACATTTCCTGCTGGTAATTACACAAGGGAGTAGAAAAGGGATTAGAGTCATCTGCGCCAAGGGTGTATTTGTCAAAAAATAATTTTGATACTACTATACTATGGTGTAATCAATGTTCATTTTTTGTAGAATCGTTTTAAAAAATATATCAATTAGTTACCTGAGCAATTAAGGGTAATAGTCTATTAGTTTGTGTTTTTTTCCCCAATGCTTTGGTACAATTATTTCTAGTTCATTATCTCAATAGCTGACTGACTGCTGTAAAAAAGAATATGATGTTGCAAGAACATTACAGACCATAAAAAAGGTAGAGGTAATAGTCATGTCATTCTGGGGACCCCACGGGGAAATTTCAGCCAATGTTCTCTTTAGATTTTTTTTTTTTCTTTTTAAACATTTTGATTACGCTGTGAAAGAAACGCATCACTTAGTATAAAGCAACATTTAAACATTATAAATATTTAATACTGGTTACAACATCCGGCCAAGAAAGAAGAGAATCTCCCATCGCTGGTTTGCCTGTTGGCCTCTTCCTCCCTCCTCCCTGTCCCCTGCTACACCCCCCACTATTCCCTCTCCCCAGGAGAAAGATCATAAATAAATTTTGGAGCTGAGTGTCATTAATAAGCTTTTTACAAAACAAAACCAACCCCCCCCTCTAACCCCTGTTCTTCCTCTGGGAAGTATCCAGAATTGGACTATGACATGAAAAAGTAGAAGTTGTTTACAAATCACTGCAGCTTGAGAATCACGGATCTTCACGAGATCCTCACCAGCAGAAGCCAGGCTGAAGCCAGCTGCTGCATTCTCTCGTTCAGTTTATAATTGGTGATGTATCATGTATTTCTCCCAGCAGTTCTTCCTCGCCTTCCCCAGTATCAATTACAGTTCGCCACTGTGGCAGAAATGGATAAAAAACACCCATCTCCAGCTTTTGCTAAAATCCTTGCTTTTCTGTGGTTGAAATCTTGGGCTTACTCATTTTTCTTTTTTTTTTTTTTTCCCTTCTTTCTTTATCCTTTCTTATAAACGACCAAGCAGGAGAGGAAAAGTCTCCAACTGTTTGCATAACGTGCAGTCATACATGGAGGTGCTGCAGCTCAAGTTTGTTTTAGTTGCTTCAAAGAGAAAGGAGCCAGAACAAGTTGTCTTCCACTTTTGTTTCCAGAGCAGGGAAAACAGTCAGTGTCTACGGCCTCTGACATTTTAAAGTAGTATCTGGGCAACATACGGAGAGTGAGTGCTTGCCACAGCTGCCAGTAAAGGGGGGTCGCTGGATTCAATCCTAAAAGGAAGCAGGAGAGTCACATTTAATCTAACCAGGAACGTAGCTGGGCTGAACACGTGTGTTAGTGCCCACACCGCCTGCCCATGCCCACGTGCTGGTGCTGGGGCCGTGGGCGGCACAGCTCCAAGCAGCAGGATGTTCTCCAGGACCATCGAAGCCCATTGCCAGCTGGGTTCCACGCTCCAGACACCCGAGTGCTTCCAACATCTCCTCCAGATGTGCCTGCTCGTGCTGAGGAGCGACAGCTCTGCGCTGTCAGTGCTGCCTTAGCTCCTACCTGCATCCTGTCTTTTTTTTTTTTTTCCACAGGGCCAACAAATGGGTGAGACAGCAGATGGAGGGAGGAAAAACAGCAGATCCTACCCTCGAAGCAAAGGAAGCAATATTTGGGGGACAAGTGCAGGAGCAGAGGACTAGGCTAAACTACTTCTGCAGCTACCAAGGAAGCCTTGGCACCGTGCTGCAGCTCACCCCGCTGCAGCTGCTGCCCCGTCTCCAGCTCCACACGTGCTCCGTGTGCCTTCCTGCTCACCCTGTGCTCCTCTGCATAAAAAAATATTCAGAGCCTTCCTATAAACACCCCACAAATAGCTTCTCTGCCTGTGCCCCACACCCACAGAGAGGTTTTATGTGCCTTACATGACACAGAGGCTGTTTTCTGCCC